TATATATATATATATATGAACCGTCAAAAATGACTGCTTCACCAGTTTGTACACATTTGTGTACAAACATCTACAATGATGGTCCAGCAACATACATTCAGAATTGGCACAATTTTATAAATAATAAAAAAAATAAACAACCTAAAGCGGTAGCTTACTGTGCCTCAGCAGCGTTGACGCCATTAGTTAAGGTTCGTTCCCACGGACTGGGTGTTTTGACAGACAGCAATCCGGCTAACTTATTTAGCCACAACAACGCAAGTGAACGCTGTTGTTAGCTGCCAGATGTTAACATTGCCTCGTCTGTGAAGCCGTCTTTATCTTACCACAATTAAAGTCGACCAGTGTCAGTAAATGGCGTCACCCCATGTTTCTCTGTATACACTTAACGGAAGGATTGCTATGTAGGCCATAAGGTGAACCCGATTATCGTTTCATCTCGCTCCGACGTCTGGGAACTACACGATCTCAACTTCATAAATAAGAACGAGTTACGTTAAACTTACAGCAAAAAGTTCGTCGCAAAATATCCTGCCCGTTTTTTATATCGATGTATTTTATAAAGAACTAGCGTCTTCGGGGCGAAATAAAATTTTGGTGCGCGAGAGGTGGCACGGTTCGACACGTGATCGTGCTACACCAATCGAGTAGCTGATTGATGTCAACACTTCTGGCAACACGGCTTCCTTGTGGTTCTATTTAACGTAACCGATAGAGAGGAATTCTCCCAAAAGTCTACTAAAGTGGGCCAAATGGATTCTAAACAGTGCTTTATACATAGCCGCCTGCACGAAGAACAATGAGGAAAATAGACGAGATGACAACTGCCCTGACACTGACAGTGAAGACTAACATTTCATGTGTAGCCTCAGAGTTGTATTGCAGTGGTTGCTTGGTTAATATAACCAGTCATTTTCTTATGCTGTTTTGTATTGTTTTATATATTGTACATACTGTATGTATATATGTTTTAATTATAAGTTCTTTATGATTGATCGGTGTTGTATTTTGTTAGGAGCGAATAAATGAACGAATGAATAAACAAATGGCCCTTGTCATTGATTACTTCCTTTTATTGATCAAAATGACTTAACATACAAAGTTCACCTTATCGTCTATTTCTTTCGTCTATTGTTCTTCGTGCAGGTGGCTATGTATAAAGCACTGTTTAGAATCCATTTGGCCCACTTTATAGGACTTTTGGGAGAATTCCTCTCTATTGGTAACGTTAAGTAGAACCACGAAGGAAGCCGTGTTGCCGGAAGTGTTGACATCAATCAGCTACTCGATTGGTGTAGCACGATCACGTGTCGAACCGTGCCACCTCTCGCACACCAAAATTTTATTTCGCCCCGAAGACGCTAGTTCTTTATAAAATACATCGATATAAAAAACGGGCAGGATATTTTGCAACAAACTTTTTGCTGTAAGTTTAACGTAACTCGTTCTTATTTATGAAGTTGAGATCGTGTAGTTCCCAGACGTCGGAGCGGAATTCAATTTCTAAAGGACTTTTCGTGGTTCACCTTACGGCCTATTGCAGGAGAGGGCGGTGTGTGACAATGTTCCCGGATCTCGCGAGAAAGAAAATCACCCTTTTTTGCCTTTTAAAATATAGTCTTTTTTTTAAAGTATTAAACATAAAGCCTATTGTTTTACGGAAAATTGTTCCACCAAGTTGTATGCAAAGATGACTGTTTGTGTGGGGAAGACCAAGAGATAAAAGTAGAAAGACTGCAAACTCTAAATATCATGAAAACTAATTGCAATAACTGTTCACTGTTACTATGAGTTCAACAACCTCAAATGTTAATATTTCTAGCAGTGTTACTGTAGTGCTGGTACTGTACTTATTGTAGGTTTTCTAAAGATGATGACAACAGTGTAAGACGTTAACAGACTAAACTACAAGTGTAATCATTGCTTCATGATTATGAACATTAATTTGTAAATATATTTTAAAAATAAAATTGGATATAAAAACCAATTTCCTATAGTTTAAAATTTTAAATCTCTATAATTACTGTGGATAAAATATATTCATGTGTTCATAGTTTATAGAAGTATGCAACATATATAATCATGTTTTAAAAAGATCATAAGAGATGTGCTTAAACATATAACCAGCTTGAACATAAAATGCTGCTTAAAGCTAGAACTGAAAACATGCAGATGTAGAGAAGGAGCTGCGAGGTTGAGATAAAACCAAGGTTGGTTGTGAAAAGAGGAGTACTTGGTGTGGTGGGAAACAAACTTTTAGAATAACAATTTGACAATGGCTGGATTCATAGTTAGAACACAAGGCCCCAACAACAGCACCTGGGCACGATAAGAACGGGATGAGAAACTAACGGTGTAGATACAGTTGCCAAAAAGAATGTATGACTGTGTGCAGAACAAATGAAGTCTGTATTGCTTGATATGTACCACCCCTGGATATGTGTGTCAATAAAACGAGCCTGAGTTTGTGGAGAGAGCAGGATTCAGCAGTCACCCCCCTGACTCGCCGCTGGACCCTCCCTGTGCACAGGCGAACTCGAGCAACGACTTTTGTCTTTTCTTTATACTTTGTGAAAGTTCTTGATCAACGAATCCGGGGTGGTAAAACCTTACCACAACAACTTTGGGGGCTCGTCCGGGATTCCAAGAAAAAACAGAGAGTTGATCAATAGAACCATTGGACACAAGGACCTGGTGTGAACAGACAAAGGACACGGGCCCAAAATAAGGTAAGCAGAGCTTTTCTTCTGCATTGGAAATAGCTAAATTTTAGTTGTGTCCTGAGTCCTAGTAACACCTTGTCCGTAAATTAATTTAAAAGAATACTGGGAAATATGTGTGTGAAGAAGTAAAGGTACAGAGAAATAAAGAAGTGAAATAAGAGTAAAAAGAGAAAAAGGAACAGAAGTCTAACAGGGTTAGATGTCTTTGGGTGTGGCAACCCCCACCGTACTCTGACGAGAGGCGGTTACAGCTGGGTTTGAGGCCCGGAGATTTGAGGACCCCCGAATTCTACAAGAGAAAAGAATAGAACAAGACCACTGCAAAACACATCGTGTGAATGTTGGACTACTGAAAACTGAAACACAACGGTCTCGCGTAGACAGTTGTTGAAGTAAGTGGACAGGAAATCCAAATTACTGATTTATAAAGTTTTGGTGTCAAGATTCAAGTTTACGGCTTGAATTGCTTGGACTGAGTACCAGGGACACAGCGTGCCATAGCTCTCAGTCGGCCAAAACTTAGACAGAAGAGAAAACACAATAGAGTAACAAAATAACTGTGAGTCGTTCATGCCCTGAACGACAAGACCAGCAGAATAAAAAGTCCTGTGAGTTCAAAAGCACGTTCCTTACATAAGAGAAAAGAAGCACACACAAAGGTTTATACTTTTAGCCTGAAAAGAAAGTACACGGATCCATATTTTAAATGTGTATTGTTATGTTGAAATAAATGTGTGATAATTGTGAATGAGTGGGTACTTCAAGAGTTGTTATACTGACTAGGATCAGTCTCTGAAGTAAGTGTTATTTTAACCTGTAACAGTTGTGATTAAAATTGAGAAAGTTGGTTCACCTTTGACAGCTGTGTCCGCAGAAAACTAGTTTCTGTAGAAGCTTGGCACAGTCGATGTTCACTGGGAACGCTGTGACTGATCGTTAATCACAACACCTTGTAGTTTTAAAACGTGAAACAAGACAATAAATAAATAAATAAAAACAAATAAATAAAAACAAA